GCCCCGCCCTCCCCCAGTCCTATCGGTCCCTCCCCAGTCTCCCTCCGCCTCCCGAAGCTCCTGCCCCGGCGGGCGCTGCCTCAGTCAGCACTTGCGCTGTGTTGTGGAGCAGGTGATCCGGTTCCCAGCTCCCCGCCAGCTGCCTCCAACTCCGAAGGGCTCGAGTGGAGGGGTGGTATATTTGGTCTCAGGAGCTAGGATAAAGCTTGATCCTGAAAAGGCTGCTTGGGAAGCAGGGGCTTTTGGAACCTTCCGGATTGCCTGGAGGCATCCTTCCCAGCTTTCTAGCGGGGAGGGAGTGGTGGGAGTGAGTGACTCCCACAGAACATCCTAGTGTGGCCTTTGCTGAGCGGGGGAGACAGGGACTGTCCGTACCTCTGCACTCTCTCAGGGGCTGAAGGACTGGCCTTGAGCCCTGGGAGAAAACGGCTTCAGAATTAGCTCTAGGAGCCAGCCTCTTCCTCAGAAGCCCCAAAGTGAAAAATCAAGGTTCTAACCTTCATCAACTCCCTCCTCATTTGAGGCCCAGGGCGATTCTGGGAATTGTGTAAAAGCTATCCAGGTAGAAAATAATAAAAATTGCTAAAACAGCAGTTAACAAGGAATGCGTGCTTAACACACATAAGACAGATCACTTAAAATGTTATCTCAATACTCATAACTCTTAATAGGTAGCAGCTTTTATTAACCCTATATTACGACGTGAGAAACAGGCACTCACTCCCCTGGCACTCCCCATGATCACTGTGACCCGGCTGGAAATGGCAGTCAGGATTGGAACCTCGCTTCCAGGCTCAGCGATTCACACAAAGTTCTCAGTAGGCCACAAAATGCTGTCTTGTGTTGACCTCCGCGTAAAATACTGCATTCCAGATGACTGCTGGTTGCCCAAACCCATGAGGCCTGTGGAGCTGCAGCGGCTATTGACAATGAACACTCTCAGACCCACAGGGACCTACCTCCATGATACAAGAATCGGCTGACAGGACTGTTCCCTTTCTTCAGCCCTTGAGAGATAGGGAAGAATGTGGATTCTAGATCACTTGTTGACCAAAGGCACATGGAGTTGATGTTAGTTAGGGAACTTTCTTGCTCCACACCTGGGTGCTGCAGGGGAGACTGCAACTGCCCCAACTTCTCACACTGCCACCTGTATTCCAGTTGGTTGTCCCAGCATGCAAGAACTTGAGCTCCATTTGGAGTTCTGGTTAGGGTTAGACTTTGCTATAGTACCCAGAATGAGGTAGTTAACACTGCTTTACCTTCAGGGATACTTTCCTCAAACCTAGACTTTTCCTTTGCGTATGTATGCTTAAAATTCTTCAAAGCTTCTTATAACAAAAAGGTCAAAGGGCCCAGCTTGACCTCTTACCACCTTATTTCATTCTAGTCACTCCTCTTTCCTTTCTCAATTCTAAGCCTTCCTGATTTCTACTCAATGACTTTATGCCATGGTTCCATTGCCCAAGATGTCCCCCCCCAAACTCCTTGCCTGGTTATAGCCTACTCACCCTTCATGTCTCTTTCCAAGCTAACAACCCCCATGTCTACCCAGGTCAGGCTAGTTTCCCCTCCTCCCAGCTCCCGTGGCTCCTGTATCCTAGGACTTCCCACTGTGTAGTTGCCAGGTTACTTGTCTCCATCCCTCACCAGGTCGTGAGCACTGTGGGCAGGGACTGTTTTATTCAATGATGTGTCCCCATGGTATAGTAGAGCTCATGACAAATAAAAGCACCCAGTAATATTTCTGCTATGAACGAATGCATCGTGGCCAGCCCATTCTGGACCATAAGCCCTAAAGATCCATGGTTATCATGGTGCTGAACTACAGGGCAGATGGTTTTGGCTCCAGCTGGGTTGGGGCCAGATAGTCCTTCAGACATGTTATGAGTTCTTGAAACCTGGGACTTTAGTTGTCTGGGTCTAGCTTCTCTGGACTGTTATTATGCTAACCACATCTCCATTCAGCCCGCCCTTCTGGAGCCCCCACAAATTGACCTCACTGCGCCTGCTTTTATGAAAGGTTTATTCCTAGTGCTAGACCCCAATCTTCCAGGGCTCTAAGCACAATTAAACCAGGTAGGTTGGGGGGAGGCCCGTTCAGATGCAAGGCCAGAAATGGGTGTTCCCCATTATCCCCACCCCTTTGGTCCCAGTCCCCTTCTCTGCAATGGGCACGCATAGAGGAGGGACAAAGGATATTGGAGGCAACATCATTGGTCCAGAGGAGCCCACGATGAGCTGCCACTGGTTGACAGGGCCTTTTGAGGTTCTGCCATTGGTCAAGGGGCAGACCCCAGGAACTGGGTATAGGCCTGAGGAGTGATGCCATTGGCCAGGGAGTGATTTTGTCATAGCCTTTGGCTATGAAGTGGAAGGAAAAGTTCTGGGAATGTAGCCCAGTGGCCAGGAGTATATAGGACAGGGTGGCAGCTGCTGGGCCTGCTGGTCCCCTCCCTACAGCAGCTTGGGCAAAACTGGTGTCAGGCACCAGCCAGGAAGAGGGAGCCCAAGCCAGAGGGCAGGTGGCAGGGGATGTCCTATGTCCAATCTCCCCAACCCTGGGGCTGCCCCTCCCAATGTCCTTCTTGATAACCAGGTTGAGCTGTGAGCAGCTCACTGCTCCTCTAGCCAGGAGGGTTTCTCAGCTCCTGGTGGTCGAAGCTTGATGTTGAACTGCTGCAGGGTCTGCTCCAGCTGTTTCTGATTCCCAGCAAAGTAGGCGGACACGGCATTGTGGAACAGCAGCAGTTGCTTGTGCATCACCTTGATCTGGGGGCCCAGCAGGGTCAGCTAAGGCTGGACTCATAAACCCTCTTTCAAGGGCAATGAGCCTGAGCCTGGGCCCAAACTAGGGGCACTTGGACTCTGCTCTGATAATGCTTTAAAAGTTAAAGGAGGAGAAACAATCTGATGGGAGAAACGCAAGGGTGATTCCCCGCCCCCCACCCCATCCCAAGTTATGTTCCCAGAACCAGTAGTCAAACCCTCTAACAGAATAGGGCCAGGAACTGGGAGGAGGATAACCTGGCAAGACCCAGGCATTGAGGGAGTTTCTAAGCAACTCCTTGACCAGGCTACATTTCCTGATTCAATATAGCTCAGGTGAGTGAAAGTTCTATCACAGATAGGTATGTGGGCTCAGGTCAAGGGGTGGGGTTGGCACCTTGTTTTCTTCCAGAAACTTGAGCTTGATGGCCACGTCTCCCCGAAGCTTCTCATACTTGTCCCGATGGGCCTGGAATGTGGCCTGGGCACTTTCAAGTCGGCCCCGTGTCCCTGCATCTCGAGGGCCTAGGCTCAGCTCTTCTAAGTCTGTCCGATAGGCATCATACTCTAGCCTGGCGGCCTCATATTGTTTGACAGTCATGAGTGTGTCTTCCATGGTCTTGGTGACCAATGTGTTGATGCTAGAGACAAAGAAGTTCACAGCCCCAAGCAGCGTCTCCCCATTCTTGCACAGAAGCTTTTGTGTCTCTGCATTATAGCCAAATTCCTCCTGAGGGCAAAACGCAGACACAGGCTGTGACTAACTGTTCTTGCCTGACTGGAGCAGTAGGGCCCTTGAGTCCCCTCCTCCCCATGGAGGAAAATGACATCAAATTACACTGGAAGACCCAAAGATTGCCCCAGCAAGGCTCTCTGAGACACAAAGTGGGGCCACCCTGAGGATGCCTGGGGGTAGCAATATGAAGGGTGGGGAGTTTCTCAAATAAATTCATAGAAATGACCAGGAAGAGCTAGTGCAGCAGGCAGGGAAAGGGCTCCAATTAGGCCAAATATCATAGGCACTCTTGCCAACGCAGAAAGGGTTACTTGTGAGGTGTCCTCCCCCAACCCCTCCAACTTCTGGGCCTCTGTACAAACCCTTAAGCTGCCTCCACAGGTGAGTGTTGCTGGGGGCAGGGCTGGGCCCACCCTGGAGGGGTTCTCCCTGTGGGCTGCAGGAGGGAGGGAGGGAGGCTGAGGGGTGACTGCCTGGGAGGGCCCGGGCCCAGTCCTCCCCCTCTTTGGCCTAGCTGAGGCACCTGAAGCTCTGGGGACTTCTGGCTGAGGTCAGCAAAGGCGTCACCCAGTGCATGCTGGGTTTGCAGCAGGCTGTAGAGGTGGGCTGTCAGTGCCCGGCCCAGCTGCAGGACACTCTCATACTTGCGCTTCGTCTCACGCAGCAATTCAATCTGCAGCTCTAGTTCCAGGTCCACTGTTCGAGAGCCTCGGCCAAATCGCTCTGATAACAGCTGCTTTGTGCACTGATTGGGAAGTGGGGGAATATGTCAGAGACCCTAGCACCCCCAGGTTCCTGGTAGCAGCCATAAATGGGACATCAGGGTCTAGGAAGAAGGGGAAGATGTACCTAGGGGAGTTCAGGGACTAGAAGAGGTGTATATATATGAGTCCCACCTTGTATGTGTTGATGCCCCATTTCTTGACGATGTCAAACTTCTCTCCAGCAATGCCCCGAGCTACTTCATCTCCAGGGCCAGTGGGAGTGGCACTATGAGACGGATGGCGGCCAGACCCTAAAGGATCAAGTTCTCTGACACCAGCCTCTCTCAGAAACAATAGACACTTTTGTAGCCTATTCATGCTTCCCTCCCAGCATATGAAGTGACTTCCCTGAAGCAGAAGGCTGAGACATAGATTGCCCTACTCATTATGAGGAATTAATATTTTGCAACCCAAGACCTAAATCTCAGCATATATCCCTGAGTTCTTCTAGCTACCTTATGATGTTTTAAGAATGGCAGGCTTTGCTAACAGGACCTGAATTATCCCAGGTAGAATGCTACTCTGTGAGATTCAGTCCATGTTTAGTCACTGAAATTTTAGACTCTGAAGTAAAACTCTGAGAAGCTTCACAAGTTCCAAATCAGTCTTAAAATCCAGAGCAGGGACCTCATGTGAACTCTCTTAATCTGGCTCAGGTAGTGACAGCAGGGAAAAGATAATGAATGATTGTGTGTGAGGGGCTAAGTGGCATCAGATAGTCAACACTAGGAGCTGACCCTGGACCAGGAGTTCCCATGACCTCTAAACATAATTCAACTTTCCCCAAACATATTCTAAGGTCTCCAGAACCATTCCTGTCCCCAGCAAGCTTCTGTCTCGAAGCATTCATACCTGTGGGGATGAGTCCATCACCAGAGCCCCCATAGCCACCAGACACAATGCTGGTTTCGTTCAGGTTTGGTCCTGACACCATCACCTGCTGGAGATCCTACAGGCCAGAGAAGAAGGAGACTTCAGGAACAAAGGGGACAGTTCAATCATTTTGGGAGTGCAAACAAGGTTGGACTGAAGCATCTTAGAAAGAGCAAGGGTTATCTACACAGAATCAGAATAAAGAATTACAGAAAGATTGAGGGAAGTTCAGTAAGTTACAGGAAGGCTACTGGAACAGCATAAAAGCTAAGAGTTTACAAGCTGGGATTCAATTAGGACAAGAATCAAAGAGAAACACCTGCTCCAGCCCATCGTCCTCAGGAAGCTGCCCAGCTTCACCGTTCCCATGGATGGGGATTTCCATTGTGGCTGCCTTTCCAAGGATCCCGTCCGTCATGGCTGGGGCGGGGACTGGAGTCAAAGTCTCCACCCCAGGGCCCTGCAAAGCCCAACACAGGTGGTTTTGGAAGCGGGCCAGCACTCTAGAAGAGGAAAACCTCTCTTGCCATTTTTGAGGTTTAAGAGGTTGTCTCCAGCACCAAGAACGTTCTGGGTTCAGCCAGCACGCCTTTCCTTCGTTAGACACACGTATTTCTCCCGACCAATATGTGTACTTTAATACATGCACACCCAGGCCTTTCAGGTGTCCCCTCATAACCTCCCCAGCCCATCAGGACTATGGATTCATGCATTCAGCCGTTAAACGAGCACCTGCATTATGCTAGGCACAACCTGAAGCCCTAGGAAGACAGCAGTAAACAAAGCGATAAAGGCCAAGCTGTCTCAGAGCTTATCCCATTCAGTCGGTCCTCCCCCCCTCCCACCAGGAGATTAACTTCTTCCCCGGCCTCAGGTGCTCACCATCCCTCCAGGTACGTCCTACAATTGCCTGGCTTTTCCTACTCCTTCTTTCAAGTGGTCTCCCCTTCCTCCAATCCCTGCAACTCTTCATCCTCCCTGGGCCCACCTCATCAGGCCTTAGTTGAAGCAGCTGGTGTACGGTCCCCGCCTCTGGTAGAAGCCTCTCCTTCCCAGGGCATAGGTTTACACCTTCCAAAGTCAGTTCTGTCTTCCCAGGTGTGTGTCCCCGCCCCCCCCCCCCAATCACCTGGGCATCAGGTGTGTCCCATCCTTCCCCAGGGCTCTGGGGTGTCTTGCCCTCTGGATAAGTGTGTGCCTTCAACTCCCTCTCACCCAGGTATGCTGCTCTCACCTCGGGCCGGGCCGCTCTTCCCCTTAGGGCGCCAGGCCCCGGCCGCACGGGGACCTCGGGCTCCAGTTCCCGTCGCGATCCTAGGAGCAGGTCAGGGACTCGGCGGAAGTGACGTGCTCTCCAGGGCATAAGAAGCCGGCCACGTCGCAGGATCTAAGGGCGGAGGTGACGTTACCCGTAGGGGGCAGGGAGAGCCTTGAGCCAACCCCCCAGTCCTTGGTGAGCGCCGGAGATCACTTCCGGGGTGTTTCCAAACTGCCCCGGAAGTGGTATGAGCGTGCGCTTGGGGCGCCATGGAGCAGCAGCAGCAACTGAGAAATGTGAGTGGAAACTCAGCCGCTCCAGGCTGTCCTTTGAGCTCTCATACTAGTCCACATCGTGGGTACCCTAAAGGGTCGGGCGTCCGAGGGCTGGGAACGCGCGGCCCAGGTGCGCCACCCAGGGCAACCTTAGAAGGTGGGACCTGAGCGGAGGGTGAGACCCTCTTACCGCTGAGTTCCTTTTCCTGCAGTTGCGAGACTTCCTGTTGGTCTACAATCGGATGACCGAACTCTGCTTCCAGCGCTGCGTGCCCAGCTTGCACCACCGAGCCCTGGACGCCGAGGAGGTGGGGGACTGAGTAAGGAGGTTATCCTTGATCCTAAAGTTAGCGACATCCCTCTCCTCGCCCTTCATTTCTTCTGGCTCTGGCCATTCCGCTCTTCACCTCGAGGATGGATGGGTAAGGAGGGAGAGGGTCTTTTGGGCCCCTTCTTCCCCCTTGTCTTCTTTCTTTAGGAGGCCTGTTTGCACAACTGTGCAGGGAAGCTGATCCATTCCAACCACCGTCTTATGGCTGCTTATGTGCAGCTCATGCCTGCCTTGGTGCAGCGCCGCATCGCGGATTATGAGGCTGCCTCGGCTGGGCCGGGGGTCTCTGCTGAACAGCCGGGAGCCGCCTCATCCGGCACCTAGCTCCTTCCCACTCTTGAAGAGGAGGGACCCTCCCATCGAATGAACCTATGGACCTTAGTGTGCGTCGAGCCTGTACAGAGAAAACGAGGCGTGGCTGCTCCCTTTCCTGGAGCTAATAAAGCTGCGTTTTTACTGTGTTTAGTTTTTCTGGTGAGAGAGCCCACCTTACTGGCAACATGCTTGATTCTGCTAGTTGGTGCATATTGATTAGCTTCAACTTTGGCTACCAATAGGTTTCCTATTATGTACAGAAGGACAACTTCAGTATCCCCAGGCCTTTGCTTAAAGCAGGGTCTGTGGGTACAATTTTAAGGTTGCTACTAGCGGACACAAAGTTAGTTCTAGCCCAGATGCCAGAAAATGCAAGCCCTGTCTAAATGTCCTTATGACCTTGAGACTTAAATGGCTTACTTGTGAACAAGTATATAGTATTTCTTAACTTTTTTTCTTTTCTTTTTTTATATTTTTTTTGTCATTTTATTATTTTTTTAAATTTTACACTAGTTTATTTACAAACTTTGAAGACATTGTTTTCAAGAACAGATTCTTTCAATTTCCCTCACCCACCCCCATCATATTGTACAGCCCTCCTTCACATCCTCACCCCTCTGCTTCCAATCTCTCCCAGCCCTCATGGATCCTTATAATTTTCCTACAATAATGGTTTTATACAATATTTATCCTTGTTTGACTGCGTTAGTTCACTCAATATATGCTTTCCAGTCCCTCCCAAGTTAGGTAATAATTTACAAAATTATTGCTCCTGCACGCTGCATAGGATTCAGTCCATTTTGGAGATTGCAGTCCTTGAGTTTCTGCAGCAAATGTTTCAGGTCCTCTTCTGTTTCAGTAAACAAAGTTGTGTCATCTGCATAACACAGGTTGTTGATGAGAACTTTTTTTTCATGGACTATATCTTAAAGGATTCTGCCAAGTCTTGAGAAGGCAGGCAATAAGACCAATAAATAAAAAAAAAAACAAAAAAAACTGAAACCACAATACAGGGCTTCTATCTCCTATGAAGTCAGTAGACACCAAGCAGAGATGAAACTTGAAAGGATTTAGGACTTATATAGTTTCCCTGGGATACTTATTTCCTGTCTTCTCAGGAATAGCAATAAAATGTTTAAACAAGTCTGTGTTGTGTGCTTGTGTTGGGGAGCAGCCACAAATGGAAACACTTGAGGGCAGAAGGGCATACTTTGTAATACAGCCAGAGTTGAGGGAGAGGAATTCGATGGAGAAGTAGAAGGCAATTTGTTAGCAGCCAAGGCCGAAATCAACAGATAAACACTGACAAAGAATAGTGCCAAAGAGGCTAAAAAAAATCCCAACAAATTGATAAATCCAAATCTTCAGGACCTCTGATAATGTTATCTCATTTCACCCCTTGTCTCTAGTCTTAACTAGTTCTGTCACTCCTTCACATGTTTTCAGGATCTCTCCTACAGCTTCTTAATTCCAGTATCTCCATTTATTGCTATCATTGTGGAATTTCATTATTCAACAGTTTGAGATTTCACTTCATCCCAATCTTGCTTAACTCCTTTCTATCCAGCTTTTTCCTTTCAAGTTAGAATGGAGAATATGTAATGCCACTAAAAATTTATGGTCTACAACTTGAGTAAACTAATGCTCCTTTAGTTTTTCTAATCACTATGACAATTCTTTTATACCTTTTCTGTTCTCTAGGGAGCTGTGGTGGCCTAGTGATAAGAAGCTGTGCAAGGCCACCAGCTGCTCCATGGGAGAAGGATGGGCAGTCTCCTCCTGGGCTATTAACTGCCTCTGAGAACTCGCCAGAGAGTCACCTATATAGATAGGTTCCAACTCTTAAGGTACACAACAGCTGCTCTCTACCTCACTCCACTTTCAGTTTTCCCCTCATAAGGTAACTGCTTCATTTTTCACAGAGAAAATAAAAACTGTTAGGTACCACAAGCAAAAACCTTATAACCATCCATGAAACAGACATTCCCTTCTACATAGCAGAAAGTTTGTTATGTGCTGTTGAGTCGCTTGTGACTCATAAAGACCCAGTGTACAAGAGCCCTAAACCCTGCTCTATCCTGTTCCATTCTCAGTCTCCAACACACTCCCACCACCCCAATCACAGAATCGATCCATCTCTTCAAGGGTCTTCCTCTCCTGCGCTGTCCCTCCACTCTCCCAAACATGATGTCTCTCTCCAAGGACTGGTCCCTCTTTTATAACATGCCCAAAGTATATCAAATGATGCTTTAGAATCCTTGACTCCAAGGAGCAGCTGGGCTTCACCCTCTCCAGGACAAACCTGTTTGTTCTAGCAGTCCATGGTATATTCAACACTCTTCCAGCACCACAGCTCAAAGGCATCAATTCTTTATCATCCCTAGTCACTGTCCAGCTCTCTGATGCATAGCATGCAATTGCGAAGACTATAGCCTGGATCAGGCACACCTTAGTCTCCAGCCTGACGTTGCTCTTCAACATTTATGAGAGGTCCCTGACAGCTGGCTTTCCCAACGCAGCTCATTTCTTGATTTCCCGGCTGCTGGTTCCAAGAGTGTTGATTGTGGAGCCAAGCAAACGAAAACTGTTAAGTATCTAAATCTCTTCACCATCCATACTGATGCTGCCAGTTGGCCCAATGGTGAGAATCTTTGTTTTCTTGATGTTGAGCTTGAAACTGTATTGAAGGCAGCAGACCTTGACCTATAGCAAGTGCTTCAGGTCCTCCTCAGTTTCAGCAAGCAGGGTTGTGTCTTCTGCATAATGCAGGTTGTTGATGAATCCTCCTCCAGTCCTGATGCCACATTTCTCTTTCAGCTCAGCGTCCCAGATGATCTGCATACAGATTGAAAAGGTATGGAGACAGAATGCATCCCTGGGCAACCCTCTTCCCAATTTTGAACTATGCAGTGTCTCCTTGCTCTAACGACTGCCTCTTGGTCAAAGTATAGGTTTCGCATTAGCACAATCAAATGTTCTGGGACTCCGATTCTCAGAGTCAGCCATAGCTTGTGATCCACACAGTCAAAAGCCTTTGCATAGTCAATGAAACACAGACCATTCCTCCAGTACTCTCTGTTTTCTGCCAAGATCCATCTGTGGTTAAGTGCCGTTAAGTTGCAGGCAACTCATAGCAACCCTATGAAGGAGAGTCCTCAACGTTTGTGTGTCTTTCATCCTCTTTCCAGGTTCATAGGGTTTCTGGAGGCAAGCTATTAGGGAAGTGGATGTCACTCCTGCTTCCAAGCTTGTTTTAATTGGGGAGCTCCACCCCACACTGTCCGCCTTGGGCAACCAGCCATAACACATTTGACACATTGGTGCCACAGTGTTCAGCCTCACAGCAACCACAAGTTACTGCGCTGTACAGCAAGTGGACACACCAGGGCTAAACGACGTAGAGGAATGTTAGCTATAATATCCCTAATACCACGACCTCTTCTAAATCCAGCCTGCACATATGGCAGTTCTCTGTTGACGTGTTGCCCCAGTTGTTTTTGGGTAATTTTCAGCAGACTCTTGCTTGCATGTGATATTAATGATATTGTTCGATAATTTCTGCACTCTGTTGGGTCACCTTTATTTGGAATGGGAACAAATAACTGATTTCTTCCAGTCAGTTGGCCAGCTGGCTGTCCTCCAGATTTCTAGGCACAACTTAGTGAGCACAACCAGGGCAGGGTCTGTTTGTTGAAATATGTAAATTGGTATGCCATCAACTCCTGGACCCTTGTTTTTTGCCAATTCTTTCAGGGCAACTTGAACTTCCTCCTTCATCACCACAGGTTCTTGCTCGTACATTGTTGTTGTGCTGTTAAATGCCCTGGAGTCCTAGGCAACACATAGTGACCCTATGAATGAAAGCCCTTGACACTTGCATGCGTGACTTCCATCCTTCAAAAGTGGATTCCACTCCTGCTTCTAAGCTTGTTTCAACCGGGGAGCACCACCAAACACTGTCCACCATGGATAACCATTATCGCATTAGACACATCAGTGTCAACAATGTTAAGCTTCACAGCGACCACAAGTTACCTCTGTACGGCAAGTGGACACGCCAGGGCTATACGGCCTCGAAGACTGAACAAAAACAATGAAAAACAGGTCTTAGGGCCCCGGATTAGAGTCACCACCTTTGGCTTGGTAGCATCGCTTTCAGTTCACTAGGCCAGCTGGTCTTTCTTGTTCATACTTTATTTCATGAAATTCTTTGTCTGCCAATTCCTTCTGGTACAGTGAATGTATGCTCCTTCCATCTTCTTTTAATGCTTCTTGGATCATTTAACACTCTACCCAAAGCATCCTTAAGTATTGCCACTCTTGGCTTGAATTTGTTTTTTAACTCCTTCAGCTTAAGAAATGCTGAGCGAGTTCTGCCTTTTTGATTTTCTGACTCCAGCTCTTTGCCCATTTCATTACAGTATTTTGCTTTGTAGTCCCAAGCTGTCCTTTGAAATTTTCTGTTCAGCTCTTTAATTCTTGATTTCTTCCTTTGGCTTCCCAGCACTCTAATGCAATATTCAGAGTCTCATCTGACATCCATCTTGGTCTTTTCTTCCTCTTCAGTATTTGTAATGATCTTTTGCATTCTTCATGGATGATATTCTTTATATCCTCCCAGAGCTCATTTAGTCTACGTGCACTGGTGCTCAAGTCCTCAAACCTGTTCCTGAGATGGTTTTAAAATTCTAGTGGGTAGACTTTAAGATCAAATTTTGGTTCCCGTGGCTTAGATTTCATTTTCTTCACTTCAGCTTGAACTTGCATATGAGTAGTTGGTGGTATGTCCCATAATGAGCACAACTCATAATAGTATCAGTACAACTCATAATCTTATCAATACCAGATCTGAACCCTGTCCAATCCTGCACCATCCTCATCATCTCTAACTTACTCTGAGCCTATTGCAGTCATTTGTTTTTATTATTATTAAATGAATGTTTTACAGAGACTTTGGATTTCCATTCATGCAGTCACTTTCAATCCAACTCATTGAGGGTCGTCTTCTC